AAAACACACTGTTCCTCTTCCCCAGTTCCCCAATACTGTTGTGATTATTGACTCATGTGCATATAATATCCATTCAAACAAAGTAATTAATCTGTTAGTAAAAAAAAAAAATAACAAAGGATAGTTTGAAAAATAAGGATAACACGGGGAAGGGTAGATACAAATAATAAAATACGACAAAGCTATAAGAACCATAAATTTAAAAATAAATAATTAGCAGGGTAAGATTATCAATAGCAATTGGTTAACAGATCCCTCTCAGGTATGCAAATCTCCTTATCAAGTCTGCCCCAAGAAATACAACTTCAACTGAAAAGACAAGTGAGTTTTAAAGAACAAGAGAAAAAATATTAACAGGAAAATTCTAATTTTTTACCTTATACCACTTTATTAAATCCAAATCACAGCTCTTGGGGAAGTTCAGATGACACGTAAGACTATCATCTTTTCCAATGTGTAATATTTGTTTGTACTCAACTGATAAATTCACTCGACTGTTTCTGGAAGCACCACAATTATGTTTTTCAAACACAGTTAGGTTTACTTGTATTTGGTGACATGTGTTTGTGTTACTGGAAGAAAATAGCAGATTGAAACCTCATAAACTCAAACAATCACAAAATCAAATAAATGATTCCGTTTCTTTTCAGATATGTTCAGATCATCTCTGCACAAACCCTCTGCCTCAGACAAGACAATATGCATCTCACAAATCTTTAATAGCAATTGGAAAAAGTATTTATATAATGGAAATACTGGGTGACACCTTAACCAAGTGATCAAAATGAACATCGCCATGAGGGGCAGGCTGACACCACGTGCCTCTGAGTGCTGTCTGAAGAGGACACAACCCACTTTCATAGCATTCTAGCCAAGGAGGCTCACAAAGAAATGTCTGGCAAACACAAATCAATGGATACAAAATAATTGCCTATACGCCTTCAAAATGTCCGTGTCACGAAAACCAGACTGAGGAGCTATTCTAGATAAAAAGAAATTAAACATACATTGACAACTAAAGGCAATGCATGATCTTGGATTGGATCCTCTACTGGAAAGAAAAAAATTGATAAGGGTCATCATGGAGACGATTGACAAAATTAAGATATGGATTGGGGGATTAGATAAATAATGTTGTGTAACAGTTATAACTCCTGAATATGATTATGTAAGAAAATACTCTTATTGATAAGACATATACATTGAAATACTAAAGGGTAAAGGGACATAATGCATGCATCTCAAATGATTTGGAAAAAANATCTCATTTGTTTTATGGTTCTTGAATAATTTTTAAATTGTTGTGAGTCAGGACAGGATTGGCTCTTCCATCTCAAAAGTTTGCCATCCCCTGTTCTAGATCATGAATTTTTAGAGCTATCCCTTTTAAGAAGAGCATGTAATCAGATTTTAATATTTGACTCAACCTGAGCATTTTTCTTTTAATAAGGACTGTTTAATTCACTTTTTTTCTTCAGAAGGTACTCATGCTTTTAATTTACTAGTGATTACCTTTAATTTTAAAAAATAATTTGAGCTCCTTTTTCTCCACTTAGATCAGTAACTGAGGCAATATTTACTGATCCCGTGCTACATAAAACAAGGAATATAGCATGATAACTTTCCCTACTCCTCTAATACACTGTCCAGTGTGAGAAAATATAATTTAGAATTCTTGATCAGCATCATAGTAGTATCACCTCTTTCAGGAATTATTTTCACATGTTCATTGCCTGTGCATAAATGGATTTGCATTAATCTTTTAGACTCATAGTGATTGATACCACAACTTCCCCAGGCTTCAGGTTTCTGGATTTGGATTTTGATGCCTCCCCTGATGAGCTCAGGTACATCCAAAGCTGGACACTGGATGTGTATGGAATTTGCCTTCATTCTTGAAATTCAAAACATTCACTAGGGCATGTGAACATATTGATTTCTCCCCTTAGTGATTTCGGTGGCTCCCATAACTTTACTTACCAAGCTGTACTTCAATTGTATTGTTTACTGGGTAAATTATTTTAGGGATTCTTCCTCTGTGTCCAACATTTTCTCCTAAAAAATCACACCCACATGAAATTGCATTAGAATCACACATGATATTTTCCCAACTACTTTAATGTGATAATAGTGTAAAAAAAATGGCACAGAGCAATCCTTCAACAAACATTTGTCGAGCAAAAACAATACTCATAATACAACAAAATATCATTCTGTAAACATATTTTTAAACCAAAAATAATTGAATTGTTAAGGAAAAAAACCTAAAAGCTGGGCTACCAAAGGAGTTCACTTTGCCAGTATATATTTTGTATGAATATAAACTGATGAGATTGTGTAATAAAATCTCATTACCTAATACCCAAATACACTTCTTAAGCAGTGGCTATAAGCAAAGTTCTGGTCTAGGTCTAGATAGAAATAATCACCTCAATGTTTTAATCTTCAGTTTCANTCCTTCCTTCCTTCCTTCCTTCCTTCCTTCCTTCCTTCTTTCTTCTCATTCCATAACTAAGAAAGAAAAGAAAATTAAATACCTTTCTAAGATCACACAGGGAATAAGTAGAAAACTCAAATTCAGACTCAGGTCTGTCTCTCTTTAAACTTGAGAGTTGGAGACTTAAATATTTTCAGGCACCACGTACCAGGTGCTGCAACCACAGGCAGCAGTCGCCCTCCATAACATACATTCTGCCCACACAGCCACTGTGCTGAAGGCATATCACAGATGAAGAGCACTTTGCCCTAGGCACAATTTTCCTCTTTTGCACACACCAGCGGATGTGAGAATCATTTTTAAATGGCTGCAGGGAGACCTGGAAAATTATCTGGTCCTGACGTTTTGCAAGTATTTATTCACTTGGTGACTACTAGTCTGCAAGCCTGATTTGACTGAACAACGCTGGTGGTCTTGGGCAAATCATTTCTCACAAGCATGAAATGTTCTAGGGAGATTCCCTCCTCTATATTTGCCAACAACATGAAAGGCAAGCTAGTAAAATCCAATCAAGTGTATTTATAGTGGTTACATGGGTGAGCGAATACCAATTCTGAGCGGTTCCCCACACTTACCTTCCATGGTCCCAGTAGAATGGAAGGCACTGCGATACCAAAGTGCAATGTCAATCTTAAAAACCTTGTAGATGTACGTGACAAACACGGCCGCACCTGTGAAGGCGAGAAGCCCTCCTATCAAGCAAGCTCGAAAGTCTGGCACTGGAAATGACAGCAAAAAAATAAAATGATAATAATACAGAGTGTCTGTTACATACTTGACTTAATACAGATTCCAATACAAATGATGAATGGAAATGTATGGCATGTCCATTAGAATACTGCTTAAATATTTCTTCGTAGTTAAATCATAGGTATAGGAGTAGCATAACCTGGTCTAAAGCATGAATTTTAGGGAAGAAAGTGTTTTTGGGTACTTGGAAGGAAAATTCTGCTGAACCTCAGCGCCCAGAGGTAGATGCAGCCTGGCTCCACCTGCCTGAGGACTATTGTCAGAACACGCATGGCCAGGACCTCCTAAATCAATACCAGGCACTCCAGCGGGGAAGGCTGAGCACGTTATCGGGAAAGTTGCTCATGTGGCACCGCCACACATCCTTGATTATAATATCGTCATGTTTTCACAGTTACTCCAAAATGAGCAGTGGGACTTGTGTCATAAAGGGCCATCAGTTGCCCTTCCCTGGAAGCCACCACTGTTGTCTCTACAAGACTGGCCAGCAGCCAGACTCCCACCTCAGCTTCTCTGTGCCAACAGAGTTTGGGCTGGGCGCCTGCCTGGGAGACACGGCCTCAGAAAGTGCGCTTACGTACTGCTCCAGCTTCGTGAGCGCACTGCAGAACAATTATGGAAGAAGCCGTGGGCAGGGGGTGACCAAGCAGCAGAACCAGTTTCTCTGGAACTTGGAGAAAACATGCTCCTTCCTACGCATCGGAGAAGAGGAACGGCCCCTTTCTTCCTTACCACAGTCCAAACCTGTGCTGCCAAAGGAGGAGGCTCTAGGAAGGAGAGAATTCAGAAAGAGGAAGAAGGAGAGAGGAAGAGAGAACCTCCCTGTTCTCAGAACCCACCACACGCATGACTTCCTTCTTCATCCTCCAGGCCCCACTAAAAGGTGTGTATAAGGGGGGTGGAGAGGGAAAATGCACTTTCTCCTTGAATTCCCATAGCACTTTCACTTTTAAAATACTCATTAAAGAGCTTATCACAACCTGCCTTAGGCCACACCATGTTGCAAACATTTTGAGGCCAAGGTTGAGCGATCAGGTTTTATAAAGGAACACTTCTGTTTTCTGGAATTTTGATGCATAAAACTTCTGATATGCCACTTTCAAAGTATGCCACAATAATGTCACAGTCTCATTGCAAGAGCATTATCAGACATTCCATCAGCTCTTCCCTAGATTTCATATCGCATTTCTCTGTTTAATACCACTCTGTTGCCTCATACCAAACATTTATTTAATGCCACTTGTCTTTCATATGTGTTTCTTTACCATCATTTTGAGCACTGTGAATAGTACGTAACCCATGGGGACATTACCTGGGGGTTTTAACATAAAGTATGCTGCGGACACACCAGCATGACACGTGAAAGGATGGCCATAATCTTCTCTTTTCACTCCTAAGAAAGTTATGTTCACTGTGTAAAAATTATATTCCGGAAAAGGAATGGAATATCTATAAAAGAAAAAAGCCAATCATTAGCACATGAGTCATATTTTACCCAACATGTTTTCTAATCTCTAGTCTGGAGAATACGGTTCTTTCCTAGAGAACACCTTGTGCTATCATTTTACCCTACAGATATGTCGCCGAGTGGCTCAATGAGGTGTGTGCATTGTGTAGTTCCAAATGTGCATTATCTTCTGGACAGCGACAAGGAAATGTGGTTCTGTTATTTCCAGACACCATCCTCAGCCCTAAAAGGCCTTCCCCTCTTCCTCTCCACTTACCCTAACTTATCTACCCTGCCAGGCCCAATCCAGTTCTTGTGCCCTCTGACTTCATGAGTCTTGTTTTATACCACTCAGTTTATACCACCATAAATTGGGTTTGTACCCTCAATTGGTTAATAATTATGC